TAGGCTGAAATCAGATTTGGACACACGAGACACCAGCGATGTGCTCGCACAGAGGAAAGGCCATGTGAGGACACAGTGATAAGGTGGCCATCTACAAGTCAAGGACAAAGGCCTCAGGAGAAACCAAACCTGCCGACACCCAGATCTTGGACTTCCAGCCCTTAGATCTGTGAGAAAATGAAACTGTGTTGTTTAAGCTACCCAGTCAGTGGTATTTTGTTATAGCAACCCTAGCAAACTAATATAGAAAGGAAACCACAATCACTGCAGGTCTTCTAACTGCTTCCCAGCCTCCAGTGTGACCCCCATGATTCCATCCTCCATCTATCTTGCTGCCTCGGTCATCTTTCTTTCTTCTTCTTTTTTTCGACAGGGTCTCGCTATGTTGCCCAAGCTGGTCTCAAACTCCTGGCCTCAAGCCACCCTGCCGCTTCAGCCTCCAGAGTCATTAGGATAACTGACTCACTGCACCTGGCTAGTTATCTTTCTATATGTAAATCTGGTTGCATCTCTTCCTTGCTCAAAACCCTCCAATGGCTCCCCATCATCTCCACTCTAAGTTTTTTTCCTTTTTTTTTTTCCTATGCCCTAAGTTGAATAGATCCACTTTAAAGTTCTAGCACCACAGGTGACTTATGATCTGACCTGCTTCTCCGACTTCATCTGCTACTGCTCCCCACACTCTAAAGACCTTGCTCCCTACATTACACATCTATGTTGCTCCAGGCATGGAAAGCTCTTCCCTTAGCCCAGCACCCGGTACCCGACACCCATCTTTCAGCACATAGCCCAAGTTTCAGCAGCTCCATGAAGCCAACCTGGTCTCTCGTCCTCTGCTTGCCGCACACAACTGATCGCCCTCTTCTTTGTGCCAACATCTTGCCTTAAGCATCCTTGCATATTTGGGGATTTGCCACGCAATATTGCAAACATCAATCTTTTCCTTTAGAATAGAAGTTTTTTTTTGAGATCAGGTGCCATGTATTATTCCTTGTCGTATTCCTGGATTCTAGCACTGTATATAACATGCGGAGGTAGTTCCTGTTCACTCTGAACCCCATTATAGTCTATGCTATGGTCAGAATGTGTCTCCTCAAAATTCATATGTTGAAACCCTAACCCCCAAGGTGATGGTATTAGGAGCTGGGACTTTGGGGATATGATTAGGTCATGAGGGCAGAGCCCTCAGCAATGGGATCAGTGTCATTCCTAAGAGGCCCGAGAGAGCTCCTTTGCCCCTTCCACCATGGCATCTTTGGACACAGTGAGAAGTCAGCTGTCTGCAATCCCAGAGAGGGTCCTCATCACAACCCAACCATGCTGGTCCCCTGATCTTGGACTTTCAGCCTCCAGAAGTGTGAGAGATAAATTTCTGTTGTTTCTTAGCCACCTGGTTTATGGTGTTTTGTTATAGCAGCTGAGTGGATTAAGACAGTCTGGTTTCCATCCCCATCCTTTCTTTCTTGCCCTTTCTGCAGCACTTTACCTGTGGAGCATTCCCTGTCTCCAAAGCCTTCCACTACTTTGCTTTTCCTCCTACTATTCCAGCTACTTTTCTTTATTCTGATTTGAGGATTTCTTCTCTTCTGTCCATGATTAAAGTGTTAAGTACGGATGCTCCTCAGCTTAAGAAGGAATTACATCCCTATAAACCCATTGTAAGTGGAAAATATCGTAAGTCGAAAATGCATTTACTACACCTAATCTACTGAATATCATAGCTTAGCCTAGCCTACCTTAAATGTGCTCAGAACACTTACATTAGCCTACACTTGGAGAAAATCATCTAACACAAAGCCTATTCTGTAATAAAGTGCTGAAGCTGAATATCCATGTAATTTATTGAATACTGTACTGAAAGTGAAAAACAGAATGGTTGTATGGGTACTTGAAGTGTAGTTTTTTGTTTTTTTTTAAGTGTTTTGTTTTTTGCACCATTGTAAAGTCAAAAAATCCTAAATTAGAGCATTGGAAGTTGGGAACCATCTGTCTTCTTCAGCGTTCTGCCTTTGGTTGTCTTCTCTTAGCAGGCATAGACTCTCTTGGGGTTATCTCTTCTGTTCCCATGACTTCAGCTAGCAACTTTTGCTGATGACTGCCAAATATAAATCACCAGCCCAGACCTCCTTCCTAAACACAATACCCATGCACGCAACCGTTTACTAGACATCTCCACTTAAGTGAAAGTCAGAAAAGAAAACACAGGCTCTGGAGTTGAACTTGAGTTCAAAGCTTTGCTCTATCACTAAGCTGCAGGGCATTGGACAAGTTAATTACCTCTCTGAGCCTCAGGCAATAATGATGGTCCTAACTCCTAGGGTTATTGTCAGGATTAAATGAGATAATTAATTCATCTATAGCACTTACCATAGTGTCTGGCAATGAGTTGATAGTAGTAGACAGTAGAGAGTAGTAGTCATTAAAGGTCCTCAGAAAGCTCATTTAACAGTTCAGAAGTGAATGAATGACTGAACCTCAAGCCTTCTATTCATCCTTTGTCCCAAATCTCAGTAAATGGCATCCCTAGCTAATCACCCAGAACTCTGGGTGTTATCCTTGTTTCCTGACCACCACTACCCTCCCATCCTATCAGGGGCTCTTTCCTGACTTAACCAGGATTTCTTTGCACATATTCATCTATTCAACCCATAAAACAATCCTGCAAAGCAGGTGTTATTAATGTCCTTATTTCACGGATGCAAAATTTGAAGCACACAAAGGTTTAGTAACTCATCCAAGATTATATGAGTGGCAAAGCTGGGATACAAACCCAGGCAGTGGCTTCTATCTTCATGCCTACAACCGTTATGCCATACGTCATGTCACTGCTATTGTAATGCATAGCACATTCTATTGTTTGCCTTGTCTGCCCTGCTAGACTGTCTGTTCTTGGAAGTCAGGGACTCATTTGTTGGCAGTAGCATCCTCAATGACTAGAACAGAGCCTGGCAAACAGTGCATGCTTAATACACCCAGTGAGTTAGGTAGTTCCCTGGAGACAAGACAAAGTATAAATAAATGGAAGTAGTAATAGAATAGCCACCAGGTTACATTCAGTTATATCCAAGATCAGAGGTTTTGTTGGTGGAGGAAGTTTTTGTTTTTTGTCTGAGGATAACAAACAGAAGACTGCAGTCAGACCAAAACAGAAGTTGAGTTTAAGAAGATATTAATATTCACTGATTCAACAGTTATTGTAGGGTACATGCTTTAATCCTCTTAAGGAAGATACATTTGACAAATAACTCATATAATGAGAACTCATAGACTTTGGAGTGCAGTCATTAACAGTTTTTTTTTTTTTTTTTTTTTTGAGACAGAGTCTCACTCTTTTGCCCGGGCTAGAGTGCCGTGGCATCAGCCTAGCTCACAGCAACCTCAATCTCCTGGGCTCAAGCGATCCTACTGCCTCAGCCTCCCAAGTAGCTGGGACTACAAGCATGCGCCACCATGCCCGGCTAATTTTTTCTATATATTTTTAGTTGTCCAATTAATTTCTTTCTATTTTTAGTAGAGACGGGGTCTCGCTCTTGCTCAGGCTGGTTTCGAACTCCTGAGCTCAAACAATCCACCCGCCTCGGCCTCCCAGAGAGCTAGGATGACAGGCGTGAGCCACCGCGCCCGGCCAGTCATTAACAATATTCTAAACAGCTTCTTTATTTTTTGAAGAGGCCACTACCTATTCCCATGTCACTGGAATGTGTTAAAGGGCCCAACTCCAGGGCTATGTATGTCAGCTTCAGATGGAGTATCATGCTGAATCTGAGAATTAAAATTTAAATTGGGGGAACAAATAAAACTGTAAACTGAAACAGAGTATCAATTTGCCATGGGGGTCAATTTAAGTGTGTAGTCAGTTTATATTAAGCACCACCTAGTGTGCACTGTGTACTGGGTGAATTACTGTATCATAATAAACAAACAGACATCGGTTTTTCTTAAACAGTAACAAGAAAAACGCTTGCTGTGCGGTTCCTGGCAGCCCCAAGAGACGGAAATGAAAACTCCATGCCTAAATCTATCCCTTCCTATTTCATCTCCTCTCTTTGTTCAGGCCTTCCTCCCTTCCTCCCCAGGTCCTCCCTTCCTCCCCAGGGCTATTTCCTTAATCCTTCTGACCCCATCTGCAAAGTTCTATCCTGTGCCACATAGGAGGATCTCTTCCAGGCACCTGGGCTCAGCAAAATAGTATTTTCTCTTTTTCCCACTAGGCATAAAAACAATGCCACCCAGGGTCTGAGCCTCACTGGATAGATTAGGCAAGAAGTCAGGCAAAATGATGTTTACGTGCACACCAGAGCCTCTTCCCCAGGCACCTGGGATCAGGACCAGGATACCTCCAAAGCCACTTTTGGTGTTCTTCCTTTCTTTCTTATTTCCTTACATGGCCTACACGAAGAGTAATTACTTATGATTTATAGGCAGTAATTACAGTTTATAAACTGTAAGCACAGTATAAATATTTTTCCTGAAAGCCAAGTTAGAAGAAATCCTTGTCTAAAATGAGATGTAAAACAACAACAATTGAAATAAATATTCTAACTGAATTGTCCCAAGCACTGTCAAAAAGAAGAAAGAACAGTGTAATCTATCTCCACAATAATAGGCGTATTATAGTAGGATCGTTTTCAGCCCATTCCCCCATCCTGCTGGGCAAAAATTGGCTCAGATAAGGAAGATGAGCCAACCAAACTGGAAAAAAAAAAAAGCGAAAACAAAAACGCAAAACCCAACAGAAAAGAACCTACCAATTATTTTTGATTCCTGGTAAACAGTCTGCACCAGAGGATAAGGTTTTTCTGGCTCACAAATATGCTTTTTTCCCTTTTCATGTGTCTGTCCTCCTCCCTTGAAACTGTGGGGTGGGGAGGTCTAAAAATAGTCAATGAATCATGGCAGATAATAATGTGCAGTAGTTACATAAACAGCCGGCCCGGCGCCGGGGCCGTGGGTCGGAACGGAAAATATCTGGGTCAGGGTTGTCACACTGAATAGGGTCCCCCGGAGCCGGCCTTCGGGAAGTGCGACCGGGGAGGAGGCCTGGGCCCGCGGGTCTGCAGCAGCGGGGGAGCCGCGGGCGGCCCGCGGGAGGGAGCAGAAGTCCCGGGACGGGCGCGGGCGGCGGCGCGAGCAGGGCGGGCGAGCTCCAAGCTCCCTCCCCATGGCCGGGAGCGGGCCGCGGCGACGGCGGAGGCGCTGACAGGCCCCGGGCAGGGCGGGGCAGGCAGGCCCGGGCGGGGGCCTGGGGCCGAGGGGAAGATGAGCGCCCTCCTAGAGCAAAAGGAGCAGCAGGAGAGGCTGCGGGAGGCCGCGGCCTTGGGGGACATTCGGGAGGTGCAGAAACTGGTGGAGAGCGGGGTGGATGTGAACTCCCAAAATGAGGTCAACGGCTGGTAAGTGGGGAGCGGGGGAGGCCTAGGGCCAGGGCAGCCGGCCCGAGGCGTGGGGCAGTCGGCTGCGACCTGGGCCCTGCCCTGCCCCTGGACGCAGGGCTAAGGCGAGGCCTGCCGCCTCGCGCCTCTGAGGTTGTGCCCTCTTGAGGCCAGCCCAGGCTCCCCTGCCTCCTGCAGTCAGGAGCGCTTCCTGCCCAAATTTCGGCCCACGTGGTCCACCCGGGCTGCGCCCACTGGGACCCTGGCGCCCCCGCGGTCCCCCGCGTTCCCTGGCTAACTTGGCCAGAACGGTGCCATGCCGGAGGCTGCGATTCTCAGCGACTATGCGCTGGAGCACACGACCCCGTTCAAGTGTTGAATTATTTTGTCTTAGGTTCTTCGGAAGGAACACATCGTGCAGACCTAAAAGCATAAGCAACTGAGCAAATAGGAATCTTATTAACTGGCACGATTTCTTTAGCCAACACCAAGAAAAAAACCAAAACAAACCCAAACATTTACATTGCTATTCTGCTGCTTTGTTGTCTTGCTGCTGCTGCCTACAGTTGCCTGTTGAAGGGAGACTCATTTGTTCATCCTATAGAGTATTTTGCTTTGTTTTCATACAACAATTTCAGATACCGAATTTCTTCCAAGGCTTTAGATGTCTGCCTGCAGACTAAATCCTTCTCAGTGAAATGAGCAGTCTCATTTTAAGATGTTGCTAGTGGTCAAATCTTTAAGGTTATTGAATGTGCTATTATTCTACCCTCTTTGCATTTAAAATTTAAAATTTTATTTGATCGCCAGCCTATTTTGCTAGTTTAAAGTGAGTTTGCAAATGTTTTATTTTTTTTTAAGGTGGAATCCTACCTTTTGGAACTGAAAGTGACAGTGGAGATAAATTCAACCCCAGAGAATGACTTGCCCTAGGCCACACAATTATTAATTTGATAGGACCAGAACTAGGATTTCCTGACTGCCTCAAAAATCTGTCTACCTCCTTTCCCTAAAGAAAACAGCCTGGATAGCTGTCCAGAAAGCCAAGAATCAATAGATACTACCTTTTTGTTTTGTTTTGTTTAAAAGTTTGCAAACTTGCTGTTGTGTATGTACCTTTCCTGAGCATTGCTCTGTGGTTCAAAGTTGTGAATTACCGTTTTGGCACTGGGAGGCAGTGTTGTGTAGAAAAATCAGCCTGGTCTTGCCTGCAGGTTCTTCTCTGTTCCTGCCTAGCTATGCAACCTCACCCTAGTTGCTTCATTTTCTACTTATTCCAGAAGAGTGTTGTGAGCATTTAATGAGATGAGGCATAATATAAATAGCTAATATTCATTCAACTTGCTCTGTGGCACAGATGCGATGCTAAGCACTTTACATGTGTTATTAATAGCTCATTGACAACTTCTTGGGGACATAGCTATTGTTATTCTCTCCATTTACATATGAAGAAACTGAGGCCCAGAAAGACTAAATAATTTCCCTGATTTGCATAGCAGTCCTTCCCTAGGTCATAGAATTTACAGTAACTAGTAGGGCTAGAAGGCGAACTTGGGTATGGTGGCACTCGCCTGTAGTCCCAGCTACTCAGGAGCCTGAGACAGGAAGATCACTTAAGCCCAGGTTCGACGTTGCTGTGAACTAGGCTGACACCATTGCACTCTAGCCAGGGTGACAGGGCGAGACTTTGTCTCAAAAAAAAAAGAAAGCGAACCTGGCATCTGACTCCAGACCCTACTGTCCTAAAGGCAATGCCTTCCACGTAGTAGGTGTTTAGTAAATCTAAAGTGAGTCTGAAGTAACCTGAAGAGCCTTCTCACAGACTTAATTGGGGAAGATTTCTAATAGGCACCTCAAACTCTACATGTCCAAGATTGAATTCCTAGCATTCCCTTATGCCCATATCGCCCCAAGCCTGCTTCTCATCTCAGCCTCCAGGGGCTCAGGCCAGAATCCTTGGTGCCCTCCGTGCCTCCTGTGTTCCCCTCACACCCCATTCTGCCAGGTGCACCTTCAGACATAGTCAGAATCTAAAGACTTCTCACTAGCCTGCCCACTGCACCTCTGGCTCGAAGCCACCATTGGTTCTCTCACCTGGATTATTGCAGTAGCCTCCTAATTAGTGTGCTTGCATAAGCATGGAATATACTTATACCCTATAGTCTTTTCTCAACCCAGTGGCCAGAGGGATCCTGACTTAAAACATAAGTCAATCAGTCACCATTCTGCTTGTCTATGCTAGAGAGGAAGTTTCTTGAGGGTAACTTTATATTCACTCTGTTCTAAACCCTCTAATAGCTCCCATCTCACTGGGTAAAAGCCTGCAGGGTCCTCCCATTTCTATTCCCTGTCCTCCGTTGCCCCCCCCCAACCTCTGTGCCTTATGTCTTGGGATTTGCCCCTTTGCTCCCTTCTTTCCCGCTGGCCTCCTTGCTTTTCCTGGAGTACCAGGCACAGTCCGGATTCAAGACCCTTGTGTTTTGTGTTCCATCTATCCCACATGCTTTCCCCCAGAAACCACATGGTTTGCTCCCTCACCTCCTTCAGATGTTAGTTTAGATGTCTCCTTGGTGAGGCCTTTCCTTGGCCCTCAATTTAAAATTGCACAGTGCCCTCCTCAACTGCTGGTATCCCTTAATCCCTTCCCCTGCTCTATCTTCCCTGTAACACTTACTTATTACCTAGCATACTACATGCTTTGCTTATTTATTTGCTTCATTTCCACTTCAGAAGAGTGATGTGAGCATATAATGAGATGAAAGCATCATGTAAATAGCTTGTTTAAAACTTGCTCTGTAGAACAGAGGCACAGTGCCTCTGTTTCCTCTTCTGTAAGATAGGGGGAATCTTGGCGGTAGAATTTACCGTCATGGGTTTTCTTTTAATGTAGAGATGGGGTCTTGCTATGTTGCCCAGGCTGGTCTTGTTGCCCAGGCTGGTCTTGTTGCCCAGGCTGGTCTCAAACTCCTAGCCTCCCATAGTGCTGAAATTATAGGTGTGAACCACGATGCCTGGCCCTCATGGGTTTGTTTTGAGGATTAAATAAAGATAATATATGTAAAGCCTTTAGAACAATGTCCAACATGTAAAGCATTATATCTATGTTAACTATTGTTGTTATTTTCTTATTGTGAAGCAATGTGCTGGGTAATGGAATATAACGTTACCCTAAAAAAACTTACTCTCTAGCAGAGGAAAGCAGCATGGTGACTGCTTTCAATTCTTGGTTGCTCAGTAACCACAATTTCAGCACTGATGAATGATGCCCAGTTGATGAATGATGTCCAGTGCGTCTGGTCTGAAATAGTTCCTAGCACTAATAGGATATTCTGACTGCAAATGTAAAGCTTAGAGTTGAAGTTCAAAGATAGAGTTCCCACATCAATTGTAATTCAAGTGACATGCATATCCCTTGGTTTTAAGGAACAAGTATAAATGGCTCATGAAGAAGTTGAAAATACTGCCTGGCTGCAATGGCTCTGAGTTACAGCTGCCCAGAGCCACACAGCTCTGGGCTGTAAACGATGATCACTAAGGGCACAGGGCTTTTGGGGGCATGCTGTGTTGACTTAACCCCACTTTACATGGTGATGTTTTAGCTAGTTGATTTGTCTCAGAGTCTCTCAGACCCACTGGCAGTAAATTACCTCCTTCTCTCTCAAGCTTTCCATGAAAAAGTGATTTACTACTAGCAAGTGAGCATTTTATTTCCAAAAGGGAGCATATTTTTCTCATCATGCTCCATTCATTTTTGAGGACTCACTTATCATTATAATTGTTCATGTTTCAAGCCTACGCCACAGACAATCACACACAAACGCACTGGAGCTGCAGTTTGCCCAGAATCAACAATATATTCGATCCTACTACGCTAAGCAATGTGTACCTTATCCTTGGTTCACTTGTTCAGCAAATATTAATTAAGCACCTATATGTGCCAAGCAGACATTTCCTTATTTATTTATTTTTTTTGAGACAGAATCTTGCTCTGTCTTCCAGGCCGGAGTGCAGTAGTATCATCATAGCTCACCGTAACCTCAAACTCCTGGGCTCAGATGATCCTCCTACCTCAGCCTCCTGAGCAGCTGGGAGTACAGGCATGGTCCACCACGCCTGGCTAATTTTTAAATTTTTTGTAGAGATGGGGTTTCAGTCTCGCTCAGGTTGATCTCGAACTCCTGACCTCAAGTGATCCTCCTGCCTTGGCATCCCAGAGTTACAGGCATTACAGGTGTGAGCCACTGCACCAGCCCCATTTCCTTATCTCCACAGAGCTAATGATTTAGAAGTCTATATCAAGACTCTTCCCTTATTTTTCCCAAATTGGCAGTCATTTTGTCAGAGAGTATACTTTAAAGGCACCTGGATAATCTAATTCTAATGAATAATAATGTAGAATGTCGCTGTGAAATATTGATGGTATTGCCCCCAGACAGACAGATAAGCCAACTTCCTGTAAGTTACTAATGTTAAGGTGCTCAAGACAAATCAGCTTTTTCCTGAAACCAAATGAACTGTCCAGATAATTACACTTCCTAGGTTAGTGACCTAACCCTCACTATTGAACATGTGTTCTATTCTTCATATCTGTATTTGGCTATAAGCTCTGAAGGTATTTATTTCAGTTCAATTAAAAAGTTGGTGAAGGGAGACATTTCAAAACAGAGGGGAAAAAAAGTATTTTCCTTCCATGATATGCATTCAGCTTTGGCACCTGGGGATGGATTTAGCAGCTCTGAATCCTTTAATTTCTGTTAAGATAGAGTTTTTGCTGGCGTGCTAATTACATTTCTATGCAGTATTAAAATAACGGCCCTTCAGAGTGTACCGAATTGCTTCCTGTGTGTACAATATTAAATGATTAGTTTTCCTAAATGAGTCTGATATGTTAGAAGAGTCTGTTCTCGAAAAATTTTGGTTGTCGATATGTGATTTTTAAGTACCTTAAGAATTAAAGTATGTGTGCAATGCCTTACATTTATGCAGATGAGATGTTTGTAGCCTTCTGGAGAGAACTAGAAAAAGCCAACTTTTTTAAAAATGGAAATTTGGAAATCCATTGTATATATGTGAAGGAAAGAAAAGAGGAAAAGAGAATGATCAACTGAGATTCAGACAGCAGTAACTGCTATAGTAATAATAATTTAAGTGGCAAAGCAAGCTGCAGATAGATGGTTATTGGCCTGATAATATTTGATCTTCAAGTGGCATTTGATGCATATGAAGCGAGTTTCTATAGTCCCCGAAAAGGAATGTGGCAATATAAAAATATATTGTAAAGAGACTGATGTATCTGATGAGTGACACTGATAGAGTAACACTCTCCTCTTTTTAAATAATTCTTATTTTCTTTTCTTTGGCACAGGACTTGTTTACACTGGGCATGTAAACGCAACCATGGTCAGGTGGTCTCTTACCTGTTAAAATCAGGAGCTGACAAAGAGATTCTTACCACAAAAGGAGAAATGCCAGTCCAATTAACATCAAGGAGAGAAATCAGGAAAATTATGGGAGGTAAGTCTTTGTTTTGGGCAAACTTTTGATTTGGCCAAACTAATTTAAGACTCGTATTATTGGCTGCATTCTTGATGCTGGTCAAACAACTGGTCTATTTCTAAAAGCTAATTCCCGTGCCAAGATAGTAATTGCATGTTGTTTCTGGGAAGATCAGCATTGTAAGGTTTTATTTTTTTTATTTGTAAAATTTAAGACAGTGATTAAAAATGGTAATTATAAACCTAATGAAATATTTTTTTTCTGACCTGAAGAGGCAGTAAACACTGACCAAAATATTTGTCACTATCACTAGCTTCCAAAAGACACTTTTTTCTTTGGTATTTTTTTTTTTAAACCTCAGTGTATACACCAGAGGATTTCTTGGTAATTTTTAAAGGGCTGTGTAAATGTTCTGTTTTCTTCTTTTTAAGTGGAAGATGATGATGATGACGATGACACCCTCCCCCAGCTGAAGAAGGAGTCAGAACTGCCCTTTGTTCCCAACTATTTGGCCAACCCAGCCTTCCCTTTTATCTACACCCCCACAGCAGAGGATTCAGCCCAGCTGCAGAATGGGGGCCCCTCCACACCTCCTGCATCACCCCCTGCAGATGGCTCGCCTTCATTGCTTCCCCCTGGGGAACCTCCCCTGCTGGGGGCCTTTCCCCGGGACCACACCTCTTTGGCACTGGTTCAGAATGGTGATGTGTCTGCCCCCTCTGCCATGCTCCGAACACCAGAAAGCACAAAACCGGGCCCTGTTTGTCAGCCACCAGTGAGTCAGAGCCGCTCCCTGTTCTCTTCTGTCCCGTCCAAGCCACCAGTGTCTCTGGAGCCTCAAAATGGGACATATACAGGACCGGCGCCAGCGTTCCAGCCATTTTTCTTCACAGGAGCATTTCCGTTTAATATGCAAGGTAACCTCTCATCAGCAAACAGCCTCTGCAACAGGGGAGTCAGCGTCCAGAGGAGTGGGATTCCTGTATGTATTTTGGGTGTAATTACAAACTTACAGAGTTGTAAGGCTCATATAAGGAACTCCCTTTACTCAGATTCACAGATTATTTACCTTTTGCTCTTTTACCCTGATACGCTTAAGTATTATTCCTATTATATCTTTCTTAAGAACAAGGATATTCTCTTATATAACTAAAGCACAATGATCAAATTTAAGAAACGTAACCTTGGCCAGGCATGGTGGCTTATGCCTGTAATCCTAGCACTTTGGGAGGCCAAGGTGGGAGGATCTCTTGAGACCAGGAGTTTGAAAACATCCTGAGCCACACAGTAAGACCCCATTTATACAAAAAATAGAAAAATTAGCTGGATGGTGGCTTGTGCCACGCTGGTAGTCTTAGCTACTTGGGAAGCTGAGGTGGGAGGATTGCTTGAGCCCAGGAATCTGAGGTTGCAATGAGCTATGATGATGCCACTGCACTCCAGCCCTGGCAACAGAGTGAGACTCTTTCTCACACACACAAAGAAAGGCAGTGTAACCTTGATGTAATACTGTTCTGTAATCCATGGTCCATACTTAAATTTTTTTTTTTTTTTTGAGACAGAGTCTCACTCTGTTGCCCAGGCTAGAGTGCCGTGGCATCAGCCTAGCTCACAGCAACCTCCAACTCCTGGGCTCAAGCAATCCTTCTGCCTCAGCCTCCCAGGTAGCTGGGACTACAGGCATGCGCCACCATGCCCAGCTAATTTTTTCTATATATTTTTAGCTGTCCAATTAATTTCTTTCTATTTTTTGGTAGAGACGGGATCTTGCTCTTGCTCAGGCTGGTCTCAGACTCCTGAGCTCAAACAATCCGCCCGCCTCTGCCTCCCAGAGTGCTAGGATTACAGGCGTGAGCCACCGCGCCCGGCCCACAATGCTTTTTGTAGCTGTCTTTACTCTGCCCACCCCTGCCCCTGCCTATGATCACATACGGCGTTTAGTTATCATGTTGTTTTAGTCTCCTTTAATCTGGAACATTTCTTAACTCTATCTTTTTTTTTCCCCCTGCCCCACCTTAACTCTTTATCATTGTTGATCTTGATATTTTTGAAGAGTCCAGCCCAGTTATTTTTGTAGCATAGGATTTTCTTTCATTCTTTCTCCGTTTATTAGTTGGTACTTCACTGTAAAGAAGGGCTTCCCCTTCTCCCTCATTTCTCCCAGTATGAACTCATGGATTCTTATTTTATTCAATAGGTTATAATCTATTACTATCGTTTTTTAAAATATTCAAATTATTCCAGATTTGGCCAGTGGGAGCCCCTTCAAACTAGTTTTTGTGTGCCTTGGACATGTCCCCATCATTCTCAGAGTACTTCCTTACTTTCTGGTGCAGCAAGATGTCCCAGGTTCAAAGTGTAACTTTCTCTGCCCTAACCCTGGAATCAGCTATTTCTCTGAGGATTCCTGGTTCTTTTTGCTGGAAGATGGTACTTAGGAACCAGGATGTGGGCACTAGATGTCCTCGTTGCTATAGGTGTGTCATTTCTTTTAGGCCTATTCAGAGATCAGAGCCAAGAAAGAAAGAAAGAAAGAAAAAAGCAAGTAAACAGACAAACACATATACATTCATATATTCACATATACACATGTGTGTATGTATGTGTATATATAAACACACACATATCTTTTAAGAATATTAAAAACCACAAATTCACCCCAATACTTCCAATTCAACACCGCAGGGTACAGTCTAGTCCAACCTTTCTTTTTCCCTATAAGTAACTCCCTCACTTCCCCTTTTTGAGGACCGATTACTACAGGTGCTGATAACAGTGCCCCCTGGGTGCTATGAGGGATTCATACATAAGGAGCAAAGCAGAACTGCCAAATGTACATGGGTGCTTGGCTTGGGCCATCTGGCAGCCGGGCTCGGAATATGGGGGCAGATTGATAAGATCCCAGACACACAAATAATAAGCCAAGACCCTTCCTTATTAAGGTGTACTTTATTCAAATCATAGCTATACTTTAGATTTTTTTACTAGCTTGTCTTTTGGCTCTTTTACTGTCTTTATTATAAGGAGTTTCATATTTCATAAATACTTTTAGGTCCATAATTGTTAAACCTCTTCAGAGTAACTCATGTACTATATCTTGGCCATGCCTTCTTTCCAACCCTCTTTCCCTTCCCCTGCTCATGTGTCGTTTGATACCCGACCTCATTCTTAAGTCTTTGCCTCCTTAGCTACCATGACAGAAGTAGATTATCCTTCTACACAACTGGGATGGTTGCTTCTGCCCGCCTTTTACTCTGTGAACCACAGTCTTGCATGTAGGGAAGACAATACAGGCAACTGCCTCAGCGGAGCCACAATTGGGCCCAAGCAAACCTCGGTGACTATGCTTGGTTTTCTCATTAGGTGGTACAAACCTTTGGCACGAGGCATGATTAAGTGTAATCATCTTATGGAAAAAATCTTAAATTATATGGGCTATACTATGCTAGAACCATTCATTAACATTCCTCCTTCTTTTTTTCTAGAGCTGGTACTCAAGGTGAGAATTCAGAACCCATCTCTTCGAGAAAATGATTTCATTGAAATTGAATTGGACCGACAGGAGCTCACCTACCAAGAATTGCTCAGGGTGAGTTGCTGTGAGCTGGGTGTTAATCCAGATCAAGTGGAGAAGATCAGAAAGTTACCCAATACTCTGCTAAGAAAGGTAAGAAAAGTCCGTTAAGCATGAATGGTTGCTTTTTGCATTTGGAAAATACCTAGCTTCCTCCTTGGTTATATGAGTCATAGTTGAAGAAATGAACAGAGGATAGAAAGGGGGCAGAGTAGTTTTCCAAATGTAATCATTAAGCTTTACTGAGTCTGTAGAGACACTGGCAGTTTTGAAAGTTGTAAGATACCAGAGAGCATTTTCTGAATTACCATTCATATATTCCTATTTTTGGTTGTTTCTATAGTGATCTGTAAGGATGAACTTAGTGCAGGATTAGATGTGCCTTGTGTTTTACAAGTTAAGAACCAAGTTAAAATACAGGGCAAACCCACACAGATACATACATGTGTGGTCCTTCCAGCATCTCTGGGTTCTTGAACATCAGGCTTTTGGCATCTCAAGGCAACCAGGAAAAGTGATCCATACATGGCCTCTGCCTTCAAGGTGTGTGCTCATCCTGTAGCAGCTGCTGAACTGCTTTTAAGGGTTTCCACCATTCCAACCCAACTCGTGCCCCTGGGGATTTAATTGCACTTTCACTGACTCAGCCTGTCATAGGACTTTTTTTTTCTTCTTCTAGGTTTTGAAATAAGCCAAGATACTGGTATCAATATAGCATACCAAACATGTGGAGACAAGTGGCTCCTCTTAATCTGTTTAACCTATTTTTGTTTTAGGACAAAGATGTTGCTCGACTCCAAGATTTCCAAGAGCTGGAACTGGTTCTAATGATAAGTGAAAATAATTTTCTGTTCAGAAATGCTGCATCCACATTGACTGAAAGGCCTTGCTATAACAGGAGAGCTTCAAAACTGACTTACTAATGCAGCAGGGACTTTTGTGACGGTTTGTGTCACCTCTGGGCCAAGGACAAGCCATTGATTTAAATTCCTTGGATGCCCGGGAGGGCCCCTGGTGCCACTGCGCACTATACACTAACATTGTTCTGCCAAGGTAGGAAGCCCCTGACCCCCAAGCAGCGGTGCCACTCTTCCAAGCCTCTTGGTGCACAATAAACCTATTGCTTGAAGCTTTGAACAGCTGAGAAGTGGTCTGGAGAGGCAGAAGCCGAAGGTTCTATATCCAGTGTGTTTTACGTGCAGAATGTAAGAGAGTTGTCTAGGCAGAATCTGAGAGAGAGCGGAGCCTATTTCTAGCCACTCCTGTTGACAGTGCACCTGAAGGGCCGGGATGCGCTTTTCTTGGTGTTGCATGCTCACAACTCTCCTGAAGTCCTGAACTGACTAGAGAGGAAGACTGGGGAAAGCACAGGTACTGAACAAATGAATTTTAGTGTGATTTGTGACTGTGAGGTTTCATATAACATATTTATAAATGTTTCTCAGGTTAAAAGTATTTAAGAATACAGTTACCTAATTGTAAATACGCTGTTAACCAAAAGAGCTTCCCCTCCCCCACGTTTTCCTTTGTAGGCACTCAACTGCTTCTCTGTCTCTAGACAGTCATCTCTGCATTAACTCCCCTCATGGTCACTAGAGGGCTCTCTGATGCCTTCTAAAAGCGCAACTGCTTTTTTTTTTTTTTTTTTACTCTGAAGCGATTCCTGTCATCTGTGTTTTATTGCATTGTATGAGAAGAGCACAAACATTGCTGTTCCATGTTCTCCACTTTCATTTCCCACTAGAAATGAAAAGCAATTTTTAAGACTGAAACTGCTTTTTTTTTTTTTTTTTACTCTGAAGCGATTCCTGTCATCTGTGTTTTATTGCATTGTATGAGAAGAGCACAAACATTGCTGTTCCATGTTCTCCACTTTCATTTCCCACTAGAAATGAAAAGCAATTTTTAAGACTGAATCTGTTGCTATTTTAAAGGTTATCATGGGAATCTGAGCTAAAGGAGTTAGCATCTTTATTTTTGTATCAAAGATAAAGGTTATTTTGAAATTCTTAGGATTTTTACACAACTCTGAAATCTGTTGCTTTTGTAAACAAATTGTTTGATCTTAAGGGATCCCCCCCACCACCAATTCACTTAACAAAGTCAGTTGTGAGTCTACCAGACTTTGTTCTGAAAAACAAAAACAAAACACCTGATTAAACTCTTGAGCATGGCATAAGAATTTTTTTAAAGGATGCATTCAAAGATTCTTTTCCTTTCTTTCATTGTCATAATGTTACAAGAAAAGCCACCATCTTCTTGGAACAAACACCTTAACTTTAGAAATAAGAACTAGCACACTTAGACAAACAGGAGAGCAGGGGTTTGAAGCCAGCTGTTGAAGAGCATCCCTGCTGTCTTAAGAAGCTTTTTCCCCATAGTGCCTATAGTTTCCAAAGAAACTTAACTTCCTAACTGTGTTAACTTAATTTTATTAGAACACTACAATTGAGTGAGAACGTGCAGATGTCAATGGAAGAGAATGTTGTGATAATGGCCTCCTGCAGCTGCCTAAATGCTGAAATGAGGTTGAGATGATTTCCAAGGCCAACTTCATGGAGTCACTGTTTAGTGACTTGCTTGTATTTCACCAATTACTGCTGGTGACTTACTCACCCTTGTACAGTGTTCGCATAGCAGAGTGAAGGTTACTTATTACCCTCTTTCTCTCAAGTGCTTTAAAGAAGAAACCTCCCTCGTGTTTCAGCCAATCAGAAGTTAGTTTAACTAGATGCAGTAACCTTTTTTTTCCCTTTTGCTTTGAAAAAAGTTACAATTTACTGATACAATTAAGTCTGATTCTATCCTGGAGGAAATAAACTCAGTATTAATTCATGTCCAAATTACTGGGGTCAACTCTTTCAGCCACCCAGATTAGAGACTCAGGCCCCTGGCTGGGAGGCGGCCTACAGAGGAATAGCTCCAGGGCTTCCCGGGCTTAGAAACAGAGGTGAGCAAGGGTCTTGGTGTCGCCGTGAGAGACGTGTCAGATGAGGCTCTGCCCTTCGCTGGTCTCTCTTCTCCTCTGTAAAATCCTCTGTGGTCAACTGACTCCTGGGTGTGGCGGTGGGGTAAGACTGCACAGTTGCTGGTAGGTGAGTTTAAAGTCTTAATCTATGCATTCAGAGAAATATTTTTATATGCTTTGTGTAATTTATAACAAGGATTTTTTTTTAGCTGTGTTAACTGTGAATTCACCCCTCCTCCTCCACTGCATATTTAAAGCATGTGCTCATACTGTGTGTAAACATTCACTAAAGAATTTTTTCTTTGTGCATTGCTGACTGTTCAAACATAACAAGTATTATTAATATTAAATATTAACTGAACAAGCCAACACTCCTTAATTTTGGCCTCATAAACAGCACTATACTTATAATCACAGGGTGTTCAAATTGTTGGACAGTCCCGGGGACCAGATGCTCTGGAGAAAGAACAGAAGGGCCCGCTTTCCACCTGCGCCTCCTCCAGCCCGCTGCTGCCGCAGTACTCATGCCCTGTCAGTGGCACAGGAGGCAGATATTTTGTGTGGCGTCTTTCCTCCCAGTTCACAGCAGTCGGCTTCATTTCCCTGGAGTAGTTGAGCCAGCTAGATGGAGGTCATCCCCTATTAACCACATTTTTTGATTATCCTGTTTATACAACTGAGCCTCCCCTTTGGGCTGTCAGCACCTGTCAGGGCCTCAATGAGCTCAGTAGCAAACTCCTAAGACAGGAGAGGAAATACAGCCTTACACCTTCAGATCTTTAGCTGAGAATAATGCTGAATGAATCTGCTTTTCTGTTGGTTCAGGCCAGCTAGCTCCTCACAAAGCAGACGTCATGCCAAATTGGCCTAATAAATCAGAGAGCATAGCAGAGACCTTTTCTTAGCACCACGGAGAGGCAGAATAATTTGGGCATTTGTGCTTTCATACTTGTTTTATCACAAAGATGGAAGTCATCTTCCATATACTCATAAACATCCTGGGCAGAAACAGCCTGCCAAAAAAAATGTGATTAACCTTTAACAAATGGTCCTGCAGCACAGGCTGACCCAGGGCTTATAGAAAAACCTGATCAAAGGAGCCGTCTCCGTATCTACTGCAAACTGTTTAGGGTGGGAAACAACAGTCACTCACAGCCACTCACATCATAGCAAGAGTAAAGGTACAGGGAATAGGAGTGAGACCAAGGAGACCAGAAAACTTAGTATAGCAGCATCCTCAACCTTTTTGGCACCAGGGACTGGTTTTATGGAGGACAATTTTTCCATGGACCTGGGGGTGGGGAGGATGGTTTTGGGATGATTCAAGCACATTATATTTATTGTGTACTTTATTTCTATTATTATTACATTGTCACTTGCCACTCACTGATAGGGTTTGATGTGAGTCTACAAGCAATCGATTTATTATGGTCTCTGTGCGGTCAAACCTCTCTGCTAATGATAATCTATACTTGTAGCCACTCCCCAGCACTAGCATCACTGCCTTAGCTCCACCTCAGATCATCGGGCATTAGATTCTCATAAGGAGCGTGCAACCTAGATCTCTCACATGTGCAGTTTACAGTAGGGCTCCTGCTCCTGTGAGAATCTAATGCCGCCGCTGGTCTGATAGCAGGCAGAGTTTGTGCGGTGATGCGAGTGATGGGGAGTGGCTGTAAATACAGATGAAGCTTCGATCACTCGTCCACCCACCACTCACTTCCTGCTGTGCGGCCTGGTTCCTAATAGGCCACAGACCAGTACCGGTCCATGGTCCAGGGGTTGGGGACCACAGTAATAAGGTAACAAAGAGAAGAGATCCATTCCAAATATAAGGCCTGTGCCAGGTGGGCCCTGACCCAAAGAAAATCAACTTTGTATTGGCTTGCTCAAGAAAGCAGACAATTCGCCCCTTCCTATCTTGTTTACCAGCCTGGGTCTGTCAAGGCAGGGCAGCTTCTGGGCTTCTCTGTGCTCATACATTCAGCTTCAGCTGGACTGAGGAAATTGAATGAGTCGGAGGCCTCACTGGCAATCGGGAACTGTCTGGGACAGACTTGTAAAGGACCTAGGAAATAATGCACCACACACTTCTCAGCCCCTAGAGAAACAGGCTTGGGGGGATGAGGGATGACATGAACATGGAGGTGTTCGCAGCAGCTTTCCCCAGAGGCTTCGGGTCAGATTTCAGGGCTTTTATTTCTCACCTTTTTACGGTATCTACATAGCAGAGCAGGAACTACTGGCAATTACCCAGTGAATTTTGGCTGTGAAGACGATATTTTCAGCCAAAAGCTCTTAGGCCTGAAGTTCGAATAACTGCAGCCTCTTCGCCCTTCCTCCCAGCCTCCTACAAAGGCCCTAATCCCCGGGCCTTGTGAACAGGCTGGAAAAGACTACATTGAGGTGTACATTTTGTTGACCGCACAGTTTTATTTCATCAGTACTCCATTTTTAATGGATTCAGGCAGCACCCCAGAGTCCAAGACTCAGTTCCTAGGGATGGCCTGACCCAGCAGACTTTTCCAGGAAGAAAAAGCTTTATATTAAAAAAAAAAATACTTTAGAAAATATGAAAAGTCAGAGGGAAGAGGGAGGTCATTTCATGACATGATTGTTTGAAAACAGTGCAATATGGAAATAACACTAGACTGGGAGTCAGTTGAGCAGGGACTAGTCTGGGCTCTGTCCCAAACTAGTTGTGACCTCAGGCATGTCATTCATCTCTGGGGTCTCACTTCCTTGTGTCAACCATTTGAGATGAGGTTATTCTGTGAGGCACTTTACAGTTGCAAAATCTAACCAATGCCCCCACTGTTTGCCATCGGTCCATTCTGTGGACACATTTGGTGTCATTTCCCTTCCTGATGAAACTAGGAAAGGCCAGGAGGAAATCCCAGGAATATATTTTAGGCAAGTCCAGCATCTTTGGCCATCCCGTAGAAGATGCCTCTAGCTGCAATAAGGTTGGTTGGAGAATCGAATTCAGCTACTGCCCCTTTGTCCAGGACCAGGACCCTAGCCAAAAAAATAAAAGAAGTGGTCAGCCCAGACCCAGCCACATAGTCCAGCCCTGCCCTTCTGGGTACTGCTCAGGCCCGTGGTGACATACCAACCCACCCACTTCAGGCAATCCACCCGCCACAGCCGCTGTACCGCATGCACATGCTTGCAAGCCTGGTTATTTTAGCCATTGTTCTCCTGGCAAGTGGAGCGGTTTCTAGGATCAAACGCAAGGTCCTATTCATCTGTGCTAGTCAGGGCTCCGAAAACCTTCCCTAATGAGCCTTTCCCCTGGCCGGGGTCACAGGATTTCAGAAGGCTGTGCACAAGGAGCCATGGGCCTGTGTGCTGGGCCCTGGGCATATCCATCTGCTTTGTGCCGGCTCACAAAGGCACACGGCAGGAAACTGGCCGCAGTAAGCCTGACACTGGAATCTGGGACTTGGGCTGCAAATCTGGCTGCTGCTGCTGCTGGGAGGATCTCCCCCGGGCCCGCCGCCCACAGTCAGGGCTGGGCCTGGGGTTAGACTCCCCCACCAACCACACACAGGGTGCACCTGGTGCTCCGCCAGGT